GTGTAAGGTTTGTGGTGTCAGTGATGTGTAAAGTTTGTGTTGTCACTGATGTGTATAGTTTGTGTTGTCACTGATGATGCGTTAAGGTTGTATTGTCATTTATGTGTAAAATTTGTGTTGTCAGGGTTAGGGGATGCAAACTCTGTTCTGGTATCCATTTACATTGATATGTCAATAACTGAATGACCATAACCCGGTATAATTATTTATATTTTAACACTAAGCATACATGTACATTTGGATACAATCAGCTGAGGCAGTAGCCATCGCGTCCTCTAGTGCACCTAGAAAAGTTGTTATCTTATCTGTTTTGTTTGTGTTGCAGGGAGATGGATAAGCAGTGCGAGTATTGTGGTATACATAGTCTGTCACTCCGCCGATGTACCGGTTGTCTGAAGGTCTATTACTGCTCCAAGGACTGTCAAAAGGCGGATTGGAATAAACGACATATGCGTTTATGTAAAGAAAATGGAAAACAAACAGGGAAAACGCCTGGGGATGGAGCAACTGCAAACGACACGTCAGCTAATTTTGGACCATTCTTATATTCTACAGATCGTCTAACAGGAAAATTGCAGGCCATTTCATTCAGCAATGCTGAAAGTTCCAAAATGTTAAAAGATATATGTGTAGTTTGCCTAAAAGCAGATGACGTCAAAACTTGTAAACGTTGCAAACAGGTAAAATACTGCTCTATGAGTTGTCAACGCCAGGATTGGTCTAAACACAAACATGCATGTAAAGTAGCATCGAAGTTACGGGCCAGAATCCCTCCAAACCTCGACCAGAGATCAGGAGTACTGCCAAACGGCGCAGTCGGAAACGGTCCTATCGGCAAAATTGATCCAAACTGTCTAGAAGTGGATTTGAATTATAAAGCTACCGCGAAAAAAGAATTGTTGGATAAAGCGAAGGCCTCCACGAAACTCCTTTTCCCTTTCCATAGAATTTTGGATGGCATCTACGACATACCAGATGAATATCTCGGAATGCGACCCGGTGGGACAAATTCTGTCCTGGTGGCATTTATCTCCAGATACCACGATCACGTGGTGCGACACTGTATTTATATTGGGGTAAGTAACAAAGTGATAATATTGTTATTTATTTACTTTCGCAGATTTTGTAGTTTACTGTTACATAAGTAAAGAAAATACATAAAATGAGATTTTTTTTGTGAATGTATAACAGCGAAAAAAGTACCAACGAATATTTTATTTCAAACAGTATGGTGATCCTACTGTATTTTAATAGTCGTGTCTCCTTGATAAATCCGCCACTTATCCTGTGGTCCCTCTATCCAGTCACCACTAATCCGGTTATCTAACTATCCAGTCACCACTAATCCGGTTATCTAACTATCCAGTCACCACTAATCCGGTTATCTAACTATCCAGTCATCACTATTCCGGTTATCTAACTATCCAGTCACAACTAATACGGTTATCTAACTACCCAGTCACCACTAATCCGGTTATCTAACTATCCAGTCACCACTAATCCGGTTATCCCACTATCCAGTCAACACTAATCCGGTTATCCCCCTATCCAGTCAACACTAATCCGGTTATACCACTATCCAGTCAACACTAATCCGGTTATACCACTATCCAGTCAACACTAATCCGGTTATCCCACTATCCAGTCAACACTCAATCGGTTATCCCACTATCCAGTCAACACTAATCCGGTTATCCCACTATCCAGTCAACACTAATCCGGTTATCCCACTATCCAGTCAACACTAATCCGGTTATCCCACTATCCAGTCAACACTAATCCGGTTATCCCACTATCCAGTCAACACTAATCCGGTTATCCCACTATCCAGTCAACACTAATCCGGTTATCCCACTATCCAGTCAACACTAATCCGGTTATCTTACTATCCAGTCAACACTAATCCGGTTATCCCACTATCCAGTCACCACTAATCCGGTTATCCCACTATCCAGTCAACACTAATCCGGTTATCCCACTATCCAGTCAACACTATACCGGTTATCCCACTTTGCAGTCAACACTAATCCGGTTATCCCACTATCCAGTCAACACTAATCCTGTTGTCCCACTATCCAGTTACCACTAATCCAGTTATCTAACTATCCAGTCACAACTAATCCGGTTATCTAACTATCCAGTCACAACTAATCCGGTTGTCTACTATCCAGTCGCCACTAATCCGGTTGTCTACTATCCAGTCACCACTTATCCGGTTTTCTACTATCCAGTCACCACTTTACTGGTTGTTTTACTGTCCAGTCACCACTAATCTGGTTGTTTCACTATCCAGTCACCACTTATCCGGTTGTCTACTATCCAGTCACCACTTTACTGGTTGTTTACTATCCAATCATCACTAATTCGGTTGTCTTACTGTCTAGTCACCACGAATCCGGTTATACCACTATCCAGTCACCACTAATCCGGTTATCCCATTATCCAGTCAACACTAATCCGGTTATCCCACTATCCAGTCAACACTAATCCGGTTATCTAACTATCCAGTCAACACTAATCCGGTTATCCCACTATCCAATCAACACTAATCAGGTTATCTTACTATCCAGTCAACACTAATCCGGTTATCCCACTATCCAGTCAACACTAATACGGTTGTCCCACTATCCAGTCAACACTAATCCGGTTATACCACTATCCAGTCACAACTAATCCGGTTATCCCACTATCCAGTCAACACTAATCCGGTTATCTTACTATCCAGTCACCACATATCCGGTTGTCTCACTATCCAGTCACCACTAATCCGGTTATCTAACTATCCAGTCACAACTAATCCGGTTGTTTACTATCCAGTCGCCACTAATCCGGTTGTCTACTATCCAGTCACCACTTATCCGGTTTTCTACTATCCAGTCACCACTTTACTTGTTGTTTACTATCCAATCATCACTAATTCGGTTGTTTTACTGTCCAGTCACCACTTTACTGGTTGTTTACTATCCAATCATCACTAATTCGGTTGTCTTACTGTCTAGTCACCACGAATCCGGTTATACCACTATCCAGTCACCACTAATCCGGTTATCCCATTATCCAGTCAACACTAATCCGGTTATCCCACTATCCAGTCAACACTAATCCGGTTATCTAACTATCCAGTCAACACTAATCCGGATATCCCACTATCCAATCAACACTAATCAGGTTATCTTACTATCCAGTCAACACTAATCCGGTTATCCCACTATCCAGTCAACACTAATACGGTTGTCCCACTATCCAGTCAACACTAATCCGGTTATACCACTATCCAGTCACAACTAATCCGGTTATCCCACTATCCAGTCAACACTAATCCGGTTATCTTACTATCCAGTCACCACATATCCGGTTGTCTCACTATCCAGTCACCACTAATCCGGTTATCTAACTATCCAGTCACAACTAATCCGGTTGTTTACTATCCAGTCGCCACTAATCCGGTTGTCTACTATCCAGTCACCACTTATCCGGTTTTCTACTATCCAGTCACCACTTTACTTGTTGTTTACTATCCAATCATCACTAATTCGGTTGTTTTACTGTCCAGTCACCACTTTACTGGTTGTTTACTATCCAATCATCACTAATTCGGTTGTCTTACTGTCTAGTCACCACGAATCCGGTTATACCACTATCCAGTCACCACTAATCCGGTTATCCCATTATCCAGTCAACACTAATCCGGTTATCCCACTATCCAGTCAACACTAATCCGGTTATCTAACTATCCAGTCAACACTAATCCGGATATCCCACTATCCAATCAACACTAATCAGGTTATCTTACTATCCAGTCAACACTAATCCGGTTATCCCACTATCCAGTCAACACTAATACGGTTGTCCCACTATCCAGTCAACACTAATCCGGTTATACCACTATCCAGTCACAACTAATCCGGTTATCCCACTATCCAGTCAACACTAATCCGGTTATCTTACTATCCAGTCACCACATATCCGGTTGTCTCACTATCCAGTCACCACTAATCCGGTTATCTAACTATCCAGTCACAACTAATCCGGTTGTCTACTATCCAGTCGCCACTAATCCGATTGTCTACTATCCAGTCACCACTTATCCGGTTGTCTACTATCCAGTCACCACTTTACTGGTTGTTTACTATCCAATCATCACTAATTCGGTTGTCTTACTGTCTAGTCACCACGAATCCGGTTATACCACTATCCAGTCACCACTAATCCGGTTATCCCACTATCCAGTCAACACTAATCCGGTTATCTTACTATCCAGTCACCACATATCCGGTTGTCTCACTATCCGTCACTACTTATCCGGTTTCCTACTATCAAATTACTTCTAATCCGGTTGTCCCACTATCCAGTGACCAATCGGTTGTTCCACTTAACTTGTCACCACTTATCCGGTTGTCCCTATATCCAGTCACTACTAATCCGGTTGTCCCACTATCCAGTCAACACTTATCCGGTTGTCCCACTTCACTTGTCGCCACCAATCCGGATGTCTCACTATCTAGTCACCACTAATCAGGTTGTCCGACTATCCAGTCACCACTAATCCGGTTGTCCCACTATCCAGTGACCAATCGGTTGTTCCACTTAACTTGTCACCACTTATCCGGTTGTCCCTATATCCAGTCACTACTAATCCGGTTGTCCCACTATCCAGTCAACACTTATCCGGTTGTCCCACTTCACTTGTCGCCACCAATCCGGATGTCTCACTATCTAGTCACCACTAATCAGGTTGTCCCACTATCCAGTCACCACTTATCCGGTTGTCCCACTATCCAGTCACCACTAATCCGGTTGTCCCACTATCCAGTCACCACTTATCCGGTTGTTCTTATATCCAGTCACTACTAATCCGGTTGTCCCACTATCCAGTCACCACTAGTTCACTCGTCACATTATCCAGCCACCACTAAGCTGGTTGTCCCACTTTCAACACCCCTTACCATCTACTCCGTGTTTCTCTCTTTCAAACCACCACATTATTTTGAATCCACTATCCCAGTGGTCTGTTAAATCGATCTGGCAGAGGAAGAATGTAACGGCAGCGGTAGATATGAACAAGAAAAAGCAACGTGTCGAGGAATGCGCGACAGTAATAGTTTATACAGAAAATTATGGTATTATCAGGCACTGCCGTCAAAATAGGTACAACACTGATTTTCGTTCATAAACAATGCCATAAAGTCCAAGCGTTCGCATATTGTTTTCGAATAGTATAAGATTATGGGAAAGTTTTGAGACAGTTATAGTGAGAGATTATAATAAAATATGTATCATACAAATGTTTAACTTGACAATAAATGAAAAAGGGCCACAACGCACCGTAACATGTGGTAGTCATAGACAGGTAGTCTATAAACAAAGAGATGGTAGTGTTGATAGGTAGTCTCTAAATCAAGAGTAGGTAGTTTAGACAGATAGACTCTAAACCAGGAGACAGTAGTAGCCAAACGGTAGTCTCTAAACCAATGAGATATTAGTTATAGGAGGTAGTCTCTAAACCATGAGATAGTAGATACTGAAAGGTAGTATGTAAACCAGGGGATAGTAGATACTGAAAGGTAGTCTGTAAACCAGGGGCTAGTAGTTTCAGAAAGGTAGTCTGTAAACCAGGGGATAGTAGATACTGAAAGGTAGTCTGAAAACCAGGGGCTAGTAGTTTCAGAAAGGTAGTCTCTAAACCAGGAGATAGTAGATACTTAAAGGTAGTCTCTAAACCAGGGGATAGTAAATACTGAAAGGTAGTCTCTAAACCAGGAGATAGTAGATACTGAAAGGTAGTCTGTAAACCAGGGGATAGTAGATACTGAAAGGTAGTCTCTAAACCAGGAGATAGTAGATACTTAAAGGTAGTCTCTAAACCAGGAGATAGTAGATACTGAAAGGTAGTCTCTAAACCAGGAGATAGTAGTTATAGGAGGTAGTCTCTAAACCAGGGGATAGTAGTTACAAATCTAAATCAGTACTGTACAGCTCCAATTATCCACAATCAGCGTCGGATCTCCTATATATGGACATTTTGATGAAAAAAAAAATAAAAAAATATTGTCTTTGTCATATATACAAGTGTATTGCCGTCAACAGTACAGGTAACAAAACAGTTATTTCAGACAACAGTCAAAACTACATCCCTCGGTGTTGGGATGAATCCGGTAAACTATGTCCCTCGGCCTCCTGCCTCGGGGAAATAGTTCACCGGATTCATCCTAACACATAACTGTTTACTAAAAAGTAGTCACAACTCAAGAGATAGTAGTTATTTGTCCGATAGTTTATAAACCAGGTGTTGGTAGATACTGACAGATAGTCTGTAAATGGAGAGATTCAATATGGTTATTGACAGAATATCCCTTAAGGTAATAGGTTTGTGTCACCATTTCTCAGTAAAATTTCTTCAAATTTTATAATTATATTGCTTTAAAGTAAAGAAAATATTCCTCCACAAAAGAGTGAACTTTGAAAAAAGAATGAAAGACAGATTTTTTTTGCGAAATAATGTCAATAAAAATGAAACTGCTATAGATTAGTATTGTATTAATGTATATCAATTTAATAAATGCTGTAATTGTGTAAACTAATTATCTATAAACGATTAAAAATTGACATTTTATAATGAAACCATATACACATAGTAATTACATGTAAGAGTTATCTTTCTTGAAAAACTTCAAAGTAGTGAAATAGGTAGGCGGTTTCCTGAAGTACGGAAAAATGGACACATGTGGCTCATTGATATAAAAACAACTGACTTATTGCCTGGATTGCTTTGAAATACTTTAATATTGAGAGAACACACTGTCCTGTCAATAACAAACATACAATATTCACCAGTTTAAGATTATGCGGAAATTGTGTTACTGTCTCCCTACATTAGATTTTCAACTAGGGATGTACTTCCTATTTCCGTTTATCAATACACTCATTCGACCTTAAGTAGTCTTGACTTTACAGGCTAAGTTAATTCGTAAATGCGGTTTTTGTATTTGTTTGCCTTTTTATCAAACAGGACAAAGATGGGGCAGAGATATACGTGGCTTTCTATCTTGATTTCGACAATCCGTCGCCCTACTTCCATTGGTCCGACGTCGTTCCAGGGAAATATATTTGTATTGAGGACCCCTATATTCACTTCTTTCTAAACGGTGCTGTCGGAATGAGGGTTGACAAGGCGGCAAACGTCAGGATTCTGTCCGTATGAATTCGGAGAATGCTGAGAATTATTACCGTGCCATCAATAGACTAATTGGTTTATTTGTCACCTGTGGAGTGCTTTTGCTTTGCCCTTTATGTTTTATTTTCTCTTATTTTGATTTCTGATTTCTTTATCCTCGCTTTCTACTTGAATTTTGTATGCTGAGACTGTGATATATTTGTAGAAACTTTTTGGTGTGATGAGACTGTGATATATTTGTATAAACTTTTTGGTGTGACGAGACTGTGATTTCCCGTCTTTGCGTATTGCAGAGTTATCTTCTCTTGAGAGCAGGTATTGATTGTTACGTCATTGGTTTGTGTGAGAAAATTACGTCGTTTTCTCAAAAATTGATGACGTTACTCTCTAAAACCAATGACGTAACAATCAATACCTGCTCTCAAGAGAAGATAACTCTGCAATACGCAAACACGGTATATTTGTTTTTGTATGTGATGATTTACGCTGTGACATATTGTACTTACTTCGCATTTGTATGTTTACGCTATTGTATATTTGGGTTTATTGATGCCGTGGTGTATTTGTAGTATATTCATTTTTATTGATGCTGTGGTATGCTTATTTTTATTGATGCTGTGGTATATTTGCTTTTATTGATGCTGTGGTAAATTTGGGTTTATTGATGCCGTGGTATATTTCTATTTTTATGTTACCTATGTGGTATGCTTTTTTATGTTGGCGCTGTGCCATGATTTTTGTACATGCATGTTGCACTGTTGTATATTTTGTTTGTGTTTATGTGGACGCTTTGATCTATTTAAGTGGACGCTGTGGTATGTTTATCTTCGTTGATATGCTGACACTTTGTTATGTTGTTTACGTAAATGCTGTGTAACGACTTGTTCTCTAATTGTTTTGTTCACGATGTGGGTTTTAACTATAACAAAACGTCTTTATTTCTATTTTTGCTAACGGTATATTCATTTTTCTATGCGAGTACTGACTGGTGTAGAAAAAACCCTAATTAAACAACACGTCATGGTTAAGTTGGTTCCGTAAACCAATACGCTATAACCGGGGTGTCCTACACAATATGCTACGGTTTACGTCAGTCATCGTGACAAAACATTGCTACCGACGTTCCTAGATTTGACGGGTGTCTCGTCCTTCCAGAATATCATGTTTATTGAGGTTTTATTGGTTTCTTATGTCTCTCTCGTCTTCAAATGTCTCGTCAAATAACTTTGTTGTATGTCCTTGTCTCGTCAGAGGACTTTGTTGTATGTACGTGTCTCGTCAGAGATCTTTGTTGTATGCCATTGTCTCGTCAGAGAATTTTGTTGTATGACTTTGTCTCTTCAGAGAACTTTGTTGTATGACTTTGTCTCGTTAGAGAACTTTGTTGTATGTACGTGTTTCGTCAGAGAACTTTGTCTGACTTTGTCTCGTTAGAGAACTTTGTTGTATGACTTTGTCTCGTTAGAGAAATTTGTTGTATGTCTTTGTATCTTCAGAGAATTTTGTTGCATGTCCTTGTCTCGTAAGAGAACTTTGTACATTAGATTTTCAACTAGGGATGGTTTTGTTGTATGTCTTTGTCTCGTAAAATAACTTTGTTGTATGTCTTTGTCTCGTAAGATAACTTTGTTGTATGTCTTTGTCTCGTCAGAGAATTTTGTTGCATGTCCTTGTCTCGTCAGAGAACTTTGTTGTATGACTTTGTCTCGTAAGATAATTTTGTTGTATGTCTTTGTCTCGTAAGAGAGTTTTGTTGTATGTCTTTGTCTCGTTATAGAACTTTGTTGTATGTCTTTGTCTCGTCAGAGAATTTTGTTGCATGTCCTTGTCTCGTCAGAGAACTTTGTTGTATGACTTTGTCTCGTGAGATAACTTTGTTGCATGACTTTGTCTCGTCAGAGAGTTTTGTTGTATGTCTTTGTCTCGTTAGAGAACTTTGTTGTATGTCTTTGTCTCGTCAGAGAACTATGTTGTATATCTTTGTCTCGTTAGAGAACTTTGTTGTATGACTTTGTCTAGTAAGAGAACTTTGTTGTATGACTTTGTCTCGTCAGAGAGTTTTGTTGTATGTCTTTGTCTCGTTAGAGAACTTTGTTGTATGTCTTTGTCTCGTCAGAGAATTTTGTTGCATGTCCTTGTCTCGTCAGATAACTTTGTTGTATGTCTTTGTCTCGTAAGATATTTTTTTATGTCTTTGTCTCGTACATTCTTTGTGCAGAAATTAAAACTTTGATATTACGTTTTTCCAATCTGATGAATCTTATTGACTGTTTGTATGTTCGTGTCTTCCAAAGGCAAAGACGGAAAATCAACAGAAAACATGTATTGAGGCTGTAGTTAATCTTTTTATTCTGTCTCATGAATCCAACTTTTTGGACACTGACAATGTTAATGACCGTTGATTTTATAATGATTATATCACTGATATAGTTTTTTTTATCTTGATTAAAAGAGTATTGATATGGAATGATTTTGTTAATAATACTTGAATATTTCACAGAAAACATTGACAATAGTCCTATTACGTTATCACTGTTTGAAATTCACCGATTATCATACTGACACTGCAGGTTGATTTGATTGGATAGAGTATACGTAGTGGTCACATGGTATGGAGGTCACTTCTACACCAGCTCTATAGAATTTCTAGAAATTGTCAAATCTTTAGACTGTATTGGATCTTTATACTTGGCAGATATTAAAATGAAACAACCCTCTTGCCAATTAATTGGCTTATGTTTGACTACTGATTCTGGTTCACCCCAAGAGTCCGCGGCATCTCCAAATCCAATAGCTTATTTTTGTTTGTAAACTTTCAGTTACATGTAATATTTGCCCAGTGTTTTATTGTGCCCTCTATAATTATACGAATTGGAAATCATCGGGTTTGTGAAATGATAAAAATCCTCACAATTAATATTTCCATGCCTAAAAATACAACAATATTTAGTTGTATCAGAGTTTTACAAAACAATGTACTTATTAATATTTAGTTGAACTGGCGATCAGATAGTCCCAATAATACAAGTACTGTGACGGACTTAAAATTTAATTCCGTGGTACTGTCACATGTGCGATATTAGCTGTACATATACTTGACAGTTGTTATATTTCTAATTCTAAATTGGCATAATATTGTTATGTATATATACATATATTTTTTTTACCTATAACTAGATAACTAATAAGTGGCATCTTTTGAGTTGTTCTTCCAGATGAAATCATCAGATAATAGAAAATAGGAATAGTTGAAAGTGCTGAATTTCAGGGTTCAAAATCGGGAATCTCCATCCAAAATAGGGAGAGTTCGCAAGTATGGATTTGTAGGATATGATATGTTTCTTCATCATTACATTCATATTGTTAAAATATGTAAAAATAAATTACACAGTTGCTACATGTATGACATGACATCAAAAGAAAAGGCCCGGGCGGTTCAAATACTTCTATCCAGCTGTACCGGGCTCTCATGTGCTGCCTCGGGTTCTACGGGGCTCTAATTTGTTTAACTATGACACTAGAGAGTTCCACTTCTGAAAGTTCTGGCCACCTCATAAATGGAAATATTCCAATGAGAATCGCCGTATGTTAAGTCTAAAGAAATCATTGAATGGTTAAGAGTGTGACCGCTTTAAACCTAAGGATCATCACATCATGTTGGATTATTCACTTCCGGTATAATTTACGTGCACGTAAACCCGTACGTAAATGTGAAACGTTACGTACGGTTTCGTGAAATACCCCCTACGTAACTTACGTGCACTTAGTTACGTGCACGTAAATATTTACGGGTACCCGTAACTTTACGTACGCGTCGTGAAACGGCACCCTGATGCTGAGAGCAACGCCCAACCAAGCCAAATGTTTGAACTAATGAAGTCAATGAATAACAGACTAGAGTAGCTCAGTCCAATCAGTGAAAATATAGACCAAGTCCAATGTACGATGGACTCGTTATCTCTCAAAGTAGGGAATATGGAAAATGAAGTAAGCATATTGAAGGTCAAGGGTCAAGATATGGAGCATAGCATGGGGTGAAGAATGTGTCAAAAAGCAAGGGGGTGAATTACAGAAGCTGAAAAGAGTAGTCCACACACATACGCCTATCAAAGAGAACTTTAAAAGTATTGAAAAACTAGTGCATGAGTTGCAATCTGATAAAGATGAATTGAAACGAAGTGTATCAGAGTTAAGGTGGCGCTGTACGAAGTGGAGTCGCCTGACGAGAGTACAGATTCGCTACTCAGAGAGTTTCTACACGTGGAATTGAACATCCAGCACCATATCGATCTTGGTAATGTTCATCGATAGGGAAAGTTCATTCGTGGTAAAAGAAGGTCAATCGGCGCTCGCTTCATCTACACTATTGACAGGTCCTTAGTGGTGAAGCGGTCTGGTATGTTAGCAGGAACTTCGTTCTATATCAATGAGCAGTTCCCTCAGAAGTTGAACAAAAACTAAGGCAACTCTACCCTACATATAGAGACCTTAAAGCCATCATAAGGTCAAGGTTGTCACATATCGCAGCCTCCCAATATACACACACATACACTACACGCATGCATCTTGCACCCAGGGGAGGCCGTCCTTAAATGACCTTAGCTGTTAATAGGACGTGAAACAAAATCAAACAAACAAACAAACAAACAAAGTCAGAGACAAGCGCATAGTGGACGGTAAATTGCGCACATGGCCTTTGCTAAGTAGTGACGTGAGAGCGAAGAATACCAACCCGCGACAGACCAGAACTTATAGTGACGTTGCTCAAAGTCCGTCAAATGGGTCTCCTGGTTCGCATGCCCAACCACTAAAACGTTCGCGCTTCAATAGCAACAGTGACTCTTGAAGGTGCTGTGCCCGGTTCTCGCAATCTTCCTTACTTTCGTCACCAGGTGAAACTGTCCTAAAGACTTGATTATATTACCTTTGATCGAGTCAGTTAATTTTCAACCCTTGTTTTATCCAATATATTTGAATACCTTCCCGATTCGAATGTTTGTATAAGGGCAAATATGGACCTATATGTTAACCAATTCGGAAAGGCAACGTTTGTCTCTTTGTAAAACAACTGGTCTCAACATTTTGAGTGGTGGACATGCTGGTGATGGTAATGGTCATTATACGTTTTTCAGTAACAATGGAGCCAGTCTTATTGATTATGTTCTAGTCCCTGATACTTTGCTGAAGACCATAGCACAGTTTGAGTCTGGTAGTTTCAATCATTTTTCTGACCACTCTCCAGTATCATTCCCATTACCTTTGTTGTTTTCCGCCGTTAAAGAACCTGTACAGAATCTAAACCGTATAGAACTACCTTTAAATGGA